TGCTGCTTTTTTTATTATGCGGAATGCGTTAAAATTAGCACAAATACATCTGAAATCTCTTCCCTTTGGCTATGTTATATAAACCCAGATTGTATGTAGAATCCCTTGGATATACGCTAAAATGCTTAACATTTTCGAAATATTTTGACGGGTAAATTAATTAATTTTGCAAAAACGTAAATTGAAAGGAGTAAGTAATTAAAAATTAATTAATACATTCTACGTGACCACATTTTATTGGGTTGGCATATAATATAAATATAAATCGTATAGTAATTAGAATAATACCATTAAGAAAACGTATAAAATATCATATTCACCGAAGAGATTTACAAATTGATATTCATTTATATTTTATTAACTGCAGATTCATGTTTTAATTTAAATATTTATATTAATTGGCATTTGATTTGATTTCAAGATATTTGCCTGCGGAGTTTAGAAGACGTGTTACAAAATTATATTGATATGAAAAAGAAGACTTATTAATATTTTGGACTCATTTGTATTATTAACTTTGTGATAGATAGATCGCATCGTATGCTTGTAACCGGCGTAGCTATTGTATAAGATTGCGTATTACGTCGAACGGTTCAAATCAATTAATTTTTACATTTGATATGTTTTTATAAGTAATTTAAAAATTAAATTAACTACCTATATTATTGTTTAATACGTTAAATGTTACTTTTTTAATTTATTGTAATTTTTAGTTTGTTTTAGTTTTATTTTTTTGGTGGTAGTGGGAGGGGGCTAAAAACAATGCACGAATGAATGAATGTTTTTTTGCGATATGTTGCATTCAAATATTACACAAAAATAATAATATAATATAATATTATGATGTACAAAATACGTTAAAATTTTAAGCATCATATAGTTTAGTTAATTAATCATAATATTTTTCTTTCAATCAATAAAAGTTTTAGTGAAATAATTTAATTAACATTATTTTATATATTAAAATTAGTTGGTTATATTAAAACCGCATATTTTAATAATTGAGTACTTTATAAAATTAAAGACATATTTAGGTGATGTAATAATTTTCAAGGAAAATCCGAAATTTTATTTATCTAGGGGCTCASAAATGTTTAATTTAACACTGGAGTTAGGTATGTCAACAATTTTATAGAATCATCTGTTTTTGTTGTTTTCATCACAATTCCTTTTAGTTACAAATATACATATTATAGTCACATATAAAGTAAAAAATAAAATATACTTTTTATATATGAAGTTATTTTCGTACGAGATGTAAGATTATAATTGTTCATCTAAAATGTTAAAAACATTTTCGAGGATTCTCTGAATCAATTAGTTGGTCAATAATTAATATAAAATGTTATTTGATTTCTCCCTTTCCAAAAAAATGTTTATAATTTTATCCGTTGAGAGAGGTGTCCATTACATACAGGTGTCTGTTAAGACAGGTTGTACTGTACCTGCTTAATTAATTATATATTGGCCGAATGACCGAATGCAACACGGAGTCAAGTGAACGATTATGATAATATACATAATACATTATAATATATTATGCTTTATACTTGCCCAACCTAATGAAGTACCTTACAGTACCGTACCTACATGACGGTACCTAATGTTGCTATAATCTTCCTTATACAAACGCAAAAACCTATATAAAAAACAAAAAAAAAGCTGGTAAGATGTCACCCTGCTGTGCAGTAGGTTACAAGTGGGTCACTGTAATGGATGAAATTCAATTTGAATATACAATGATATTATATCATTGTATACGAAAAACGATTCTGAGCGGAGATAGTTTTTCTGCTAGGATATATTATTAAAATTTTTCAAATTTTAGATTTAAAAAGAAAAATGTTTATGAATTTCTAGCTTAAAATAATTTTTTATTTTCGCGAATTTTCGTGATTTTTACGTTTGTTGTCAAAATTCAAACTTTGAATGCTTATAAAAAAAAATTGTGAATTTATATTTCTTTTATTTTTCAACTGCTCTTGTAAAAATATGTTAGGAGCTTTGTATTAAATTTTCAAATCTTAGATTTAAAAATAAAAACTTTCATGCATTTATATCTAAGATAATTTGAACATTGCCGTAACTTTTACGTATTTATTCAAAATTTGAACTTTAAATACTTATAAAAAAAAAATCATGCTTATGTATTTTTAATATTTTTCAACTACTATTGTAACAATGTGTTAGGTGTCTTGAATTAAATTTTGAAGCTTTTTCACCCAACAAATAAATTTTGTTTTTCTAAACTAACTTTTAAATTGCTTATGATTTGCTTATAATTAATTATTTTTATCTGGACAAATATCCATAGAGAATAAAAGTTATCAATTATCATTAATAGGTATCAGTTATTACAAATATTTATTTTATTTATAAAAAAAAATTTTATTAAATATTTATATATTTTTTTTATTTATTTATAATAAAATTGAATACAAAAATGTGATTGTCCATACCTATTCAATTTATATTTTGTATGCGCAATTATTAATAAAATACRTCATATTACTGTAGGAAGTATACAAATGTGAAATGAGCCGTACTGCCGCATGATTGGAAATTGTATAGTAGTGCACTAGTGCGTAATGTATATTATTTAATATTATGTTATTTAAATGAGATTACTGTTATCATGTTAAAATATACAAAAATAAATATTACTTATTATCCATAGATGTAGATAGCCTATCGGTTAGGAATGTCTTATTGTAAATAATAATAATAATAAAAACAATGAGACTAATATTGTTCCGTAATCCGTTATATACTTATATGAATGTAGTTATAACAGCGGGAGTTTTCCCAAATAAATTAATGTTATTTTCGTGGACATTAAATAAAAAAATCGTGTTGCACAAGAGAACACAGCGTTTTTATATCTCTATGAATCACAATGAACATGAGATCAAGATATGTTATAAATTTGAATGAAGTTACGAAATATCGATTTATGCAAAATCATAGTTTTGCATTTTGTTTCCTGATCAGTGTTAATAATACATTATTTTGAATTTCGATTTCATTTAGATACTCGTAAAGTAATAACGTTACATCAAATGAAATGCACAAATGTCAAATTTGTATTATTTGCCACCAGTCGTAACGACTTTTATCCGAATATTCTATTCAATTTATTATAACACTTTTATTTTTATCTAATGCTAATAAGTAATATTATGGTAACATTTGAAGTAGTATGGCACTTTGCGCTTATGGTAACTTTTTTATTATTTTGAGGGACTAATGTAAAAATCACTTTAGAGTACGTACGCTATGGTATATCACACTTGTTTGTGTTGTTTCCGTTAGGAAGAGTACCTACTTTGATTTTACAAGTATTTCAAATACTAAAATATTAGATACAATATAAAAATTGTCCTAATTCAAATACAAATTTTAAATCTTATAGACCCAATGTACTAACCATTAGATAGTATTCTCGTTTTTAAATTCGATAATAGGTCAATTCACTCTATACTATTATAGCAAAAAAAAATTCTTCCAGTTTCCGCAAATTTGATATATTGTACGTTGGTAAGACGAAGAAAACATATTATGCTGGTAAATCATTTACACWGAGTACACACCAATACAATATTATTATACGTTTATATAATATTATTCATATTGTACATGGTACAAATAAAGGAATAGCATGTGAAGGACTGCAAAAAACCACGTAAGTAATATGCGGGATCGCATAAATGCGGGCTTGTCTAAATAGTATTCTACCACTCTTAATCGTAATGCATATTATTATATATTAAATTATTTACGTTTAAATAATTTAATTTTGTAGGGATTTCGTCTCCGTTTTTTTAAACATTATTATTTATACTGACATTCATCAGTCATATATTTTTTTATTTTAGTTTAGTTTACTAGTTTAGTTGTAGTACAACTCAGTGAAGTAAAATAATTTCKTTAATTAGTAATAAATTAGCTATATACAGGTAAACTTGAATTATTCATTCACTTACCATAATACCGTCGATATATTTTGCATGTTCGTTTTAGAAGGTATGTCTTTATAATATTATTAATATTATAATTCTTTGTAAATATTACATATTTTTTAACTATTTATCCATGATACAATTGTATGTGACTAACCTGTCTCGCTAGTCGCAACACAATACGCTCGTCGAAAACGTACCTAATTAGTTTTATAGATATAATTAATTTAGTCTTAAACTTACGTAATTAAATACATGTTTACTCACAGCATGTGCGTGTGTGCCATTGTAGTAATAGTTTTAATTTTTAATTTGTAGGTATGAAATATAATTMTGTTGAAATCCATATAATTAAAGTAGTTTTTTTGTACGCACCGTGCCTATATAATTGTGCATTAAATCATTAGAGCGGATAACTCAATATATTATGATGATTTGTTTCGTCGTGGACAATATACCTATAAAATATAACTATTAATTTGATTTGATTTACTATGCACTTGGTTCTCAMAACTCGCTATAAATGTGCGTCATTTAGTGTGCGAAACGTATGTAAAATTAAAAAAAGAAAAAATGTTCGCACAAAAAAATAATGATCGCTGTAAATGTATTCAGTTTAAAATGATCTACGCTAACACACTTTTTATGATATCCCATCGATCACACAGGCACGCGAACAAATCATGAATGCATATAATAATCCAATATCTATCCAAGGAACGTGTACATTATTAAATACCTCAAACGATTGGTGTGTGTATGTGTGTGTGTGTGCCCCCTCCTACAGTTGTCGGTTTTTTCTATGTATACTCTCTTCTATCTTGCTTTTTTTTGTTTTTTTTTTTTTCGTATTGTTACTAATATGTCTTTTATGTAGGTATACATTGTTTATTACTTTTTTTTACCTGCAATCCCGAAGGGTAAAAAAATGAAAAAAACTTAGTTTGTTCACTGGTGGAAGGGACGGTGTTCAGTTCGGGTTTAAAGAGAGTGGGAGCGTTTGGTGGAGTTTTTATTTTGACAGTGACAGTAACCACAGACTGACCGACCAACCAGAGATTTTTGTTTCACCTTCGAGTACAACCCCCCGAACTCGGCAATTTCAACACGGGTCCGTGTTAAATTGTTTAATTTATAATATATCAGTTTGTTCTATACCGTACAGGTGGTCAAGTTTAATCCTGGATACCTCTTCGTTAACGCAATTTTCATTGTAAGTATTAATATTATTTATTTAATAGTTTTATCAATATTATTTGCTTCCTATTATTAAAAAATTATTAAATAAGTGTAGCTACTAATCACATTTAAAAAACAAATTAATATCTTACGAGAAAAAATGATTAATTGAATAATTAATTKAATAATTGAWAGGTATAATATTTAATTGGTTTTTTAAAATATTCTTTTGTACAACTTTTATTGCTCAATACTTTAAATTTAAAACATTTATAAAATATAATAATTATTAAATATTAATAGCAAGTCGTAGGTAAATTATATTATGATAAAATAGTAGCAACAGTAATATTACTAATTTTCGGTTCACGGATAACTGTAAATCATTTTAACTATAGGTGGATAAAACATACGTTGGTTTAGACTTTTTTTATTCAATTGATTGTAAAAAAAAATATGACTGTTAACTTTTTTTTATYAATGAAAGTAATTTTTATTGTTTCACAACGATTAGATCATAATGTTATAAAATATTTTGTTAAATTTAAGCACCTATTTTAATATATTGCATTGAAATCAGTTGTTCAAACGGTTGGTAGTATAAAAACTGGTTCATGCTTAATTTTGCACATCAATAACCCTCGCAACCAGAAAAAAAAAWRKAACTAATAGGAACTCTCGATTATATCAGCCGTATATTTTGGGTATTTGGCCTTACGCCGTGTCCTATACGTTAATCCGTTGAGTGCTGTGAAAAACAAAACAGCTTATATTTTGCCACATCGGACGCACTGCACTGCGGCGGCACAGCATGGTYAGAATAAAATTCGTTCGCACTCACCGCATTCGCCGGATAGGATGTGGTGTTGGACGAATTTCGAGTATATTATGTATAATATCTATTGCGAAAGGTCAAAACGGCCGAATCAACTCGAACCATATCCAACCTATGATCGTCCCCTCTCCTTTAACTATTACAGAGGGCTACAGGGGGCCACCAGCGACGTTATCTGTGAGGGGCACGTTCGCTCATGAGTTTTAAGCTAACGTACGTGATCTGCAGGTAGTGCAAAAATCCACAACAATGCGATGTGTACCAGATGTTTTTCTTTTGATAATGCATGTAGGTAGAGAGAGAGGTAAAAATAAAATCCGGACGTAGGTATATACTATATATCTAACACAATATAATAACTATAATAATACCGTTCAAGTTCTTCATTGTAGTGATGATATTTTGATGAACTGCCAAAATGGAAAAAACCAGGTGAAGGATAAAAAAAAAAAAAAATAATAAAAGGAAAGAAAAGATCCAAAAACGCTACTGGTCTTATGATACAGTGTAAGAACTATCCCTATAATATATTATGTTGTCGTGTGCCATCAAATTTATAAAAAAAAATAAGTAGGTAATCTTAGGGTGAACAATCATTTTGATAAAACGGTATTTCGCTATCACAACAAAGTAGTCATTAGTTTAACCGTCATATTTTTTTTGTCTAGGGGTTGTGTAATAT